AGCCTGCTCCATGACTTTGGGAGTAGGCTCTATTAAGCCTGGAGCCAGCTCCAAGGACCTTGGAGCTGGCTCTACATGTGTGGGAGCCGGCTCCCACTTCTATGGAACCGGCTCTCACCTTCTCTGAAAGCCGTCTTCAACCTCTGCAACTTCTGCGACCTTCTGCATCGTCTCCGGTCGCTCCCAACCTGTTTATTTGGTTTTAAACTGTTCCTAAGAGTCCTAACTGTGTCCAGTATAATCCCCATGGCGTGTTTACAGTAGTTGAAATGAAATACAGAGACTATAAGTTCTACAGACTAATCATGCTTTAAAAACATAACTGAAATCAGACATGCACGAACTATAATTGAACAAATTTTAACACATACAGATCATCAATATAGCATCTAATATACATGTAACACTCAGTTAATGATTAATTAAACCCTAGAGACTATCTAGGTGCACAGAACACAGGCCAACGGGAAGGAGAAAGAAAAGAACTTGCCTGTGATTTCAGTTATGAAATCTCGGCGTCGTGTCCACTGTTCCGGCAACACTGAGCTACTGTATAGCCTCCTCTTACTTGTGCTCTTCCCTCCTCCTAGGTCCGACCTTGAAGCCTCAGTCGAATCCCTCACCAAACGTGCTCTGTTCTCTCAAAACCTCACTCTGTATCTCTCTGTAGCTTTAATACGTGAATAGGGTTTTTCCAACCCTTCCTACAAACTATAACCGTGTATATATAGGCACAAATATAACCTAATTCTAATAGTAATCCAAGACAGAAATCCTAATCCAAGTTAAACCCTAATCGGCCCATAGGATAAAACCCACATTATAACCCTTGTCTGCTTCCACCTACTGGACTTCTAACAGAAATCCTAAATAATTTATTAACCTAACCTAAAACTCAATTAACTTAGTTACATTAAAATTAATAATAAATAACTTAATCCAATTAAAGAAAATACCAAAGACATTTTAAATAAAACAAAACAATTCAATTAAAGAACACAAGAAACAATTAATGCAATTTAACTTCCACAATTAAACAATTAAATCACAATTAACTCAATTCAAAAAAGTAAAACAATTAAACACTTAATCAAATAAACAAACAGGCACACAAAATACAAGAAAACAATAATTAAAATACCGAGACTATCTTTTAAAAATTAGGAGTATTACAGTAACTCCTCAGTTTCGTGGTCAAGAGAATAAAGGAATGAATTTGTTATCTTTGCTACTATTTGGATTTGGGATGGCTGTGAAATTTGCATTCCTTTTTCTTTTCTGGTTCTTTCTTTCTTTTGCAACCAAATAAGATTCAGTCGATACATGTATATATATATATATATATGAGAAATTGAATACTTACTACTTGAAAGAAGCATGCTATTTATAAGCAAACTAGTCTTTTATATGCCAAACTTCCAATTTGAACAACTTTATAGTGAAAGGCAGACAGGACTAAACAGAGGATTGGCATTGGGTTTCATAGTGACAAATTCAAAATGAAATTAGTATTAGAATGATCCAAGTAACATTCAATTCCAGTAACATATTAAAACTCAAAATAAAAAAATAAAAAAATAAATCATAAATTGAAGTTTTATAATCTCTTACTTTTCATTATCTATCCAAAAATGGAGAGGAAGTAACTTGTAATCTCACTTACATTTGGAGTTACTATTTCCTTTTTTTCATTTGGAATCAAATTATTTTAGTTTATATATAAACATAAGATAAAATGTTGAATATTTTCTATCTATCTATATATATATATAGTTATATATATGCCAAAATTTCGATTTTAACAACTTTATACTCATTGCAGCTTATGCATGGTTGAAATGTGAGAGGCCAGAGGATGAAGATTGTGTTTCAGTCCTCCGAGCAGCCGGTATAATTGGCCGCAATGGTAAGCAATATGGTGCTGAGAGTCGGTATGTGCGCCTCAGCCTCATCAAGAGACAAGATGACTTCGACTTGCTGTTGCAGCGGATCAAAGAACTAGTAATGCAGGAAGGGGGTACTAAAATTATGTGAAGATCATATAATCAACATTGTGTTGATTATATTAGTCATATACAGGAAGGTGACAACATTAAAATTATGTGAAGATCATGTAATATGATGATAATCAACATATGTTGATTATATGTTGATCATACAATTATGATTTAATTGACGTAATAAGTTGTCTGTTAACCTGGTTTATTGTAGCTACAAGGTCTCATCTCGTGTCTAATTATCTACACTTGTATATTGTTTCAGTTGGCAAATTGTTGTGTTGTGACATGTGCAAAAGAAAGCAAAACCTTGCCATAAAGGCATGTGGATGTTAATAAATTGAGATATTAGGGGTGGTCACAGATCGAATCAAATTAGGTATCAATCTTAATTCGATTAGCTCCTAACGGATTAGACGAATCTTAATCCGCTACTAATCGGATAGGATCCGCAGATTGAGTTTTATCTAAATTATCCATTATTGTTAATATTATTTATTATTTATTTATCTTTTAACCACAACTCAATAAATAAAATTTTAATTTATTAATATTAATTCATATATTTAAATAATTATTAACTAATACATCTTGAGAGTTTATTAAATTATCATTAACTAAATAAATTAACTAATATATTCTTTGAATATATATATATACATATATATTTCACGGATTGAATCGGATGATTTTTAATCGCTCAATTCGTGAGTTACGAATTTGATTTTTTTGAATTCGTTACGAATCCGTGGGTGTAGCAAGTCAATTCATTTTTGTAGTCAAGAGAACAAAGGAATGAATTTGTAATCTTGCTACCATTTGGAGTTGGGGTGGCTTTGAAATTTGCATTCCTTTTTCTCTTCTGGTTCTTTCTTTCTTTTGAAACCAAATAAGATTTAGTTGATATATGTATGTGTGTGTGTGTATATATATGTGTGTGTGTGTTAGAGAAATTGAATACTTACTACTTGAAAGAACCATGCTATATATAATAAGCAAGCTAGTCTTTTATATGCCAAACTTCCAATTTGAACAACTTTATAGTTTATGGTGAAAGGCAGACAGGACTAAAACAGAGGATTGGCATTGGATTTCACAGTGACAAAATTCAAAATTAAATTAGTATTAGAATGATCAAGTAACATTAATTTCAGTAACATATTAAAACTCAAAAAATAAAAAATCATAAATTGAAGTTTTATAATCTCTTACTTTTCATTCTCTATCCAAAAATGAAGGAGAGGAAGTAACTTGTAATCTCACTTACATTTGGAGTTGTTATTTCCTTTTTTCATTTGGAATCAAATTATTTTAGTTTATATATAAAAATAACATAAAATGTTGAATATTTTCTATCTAGTTATTTATTTATTTATATATATGCCAAAATTTCGATTTTAACAACTTTATACTCATTGCAGCTTATGCATGGTTGAAATGTGAGAGGCCAGAGGATGAAGATTGTGCTTCAGTCCTCAGAGCAGCCGGTATAATTGGCCGCAATGGTAAGCAATATGGTGCTGAGAGTCGGTATGTGCGCCTCAGCCTCATCAAGAGACAAGATGACTTCGGCTTACTGTTGCAGCGGATCAAAGAACTAGTAATGCAGGAAGGAGGTACTAAAATTATGTGAAGATCATATAATCAACATTGTGTTGATTATATTTGTTATAGACAGGAAGGTGACAATATTAAAATTGTGTGAAGATCATGTAATATGATGATAATCAACATATGTTGATTATATGTTGATCATACAATTATGATTTAATTGATGTAATAAGTTGTTTGTTAACCTGGTTTATTGTAGCTACAAGGTCTCATCTCATGTCTAATTATCTAAACTTGTATGTTGTTTCAGTTAGCAAAATGTTGTGACGTGCAGAAGAAAGCAAAACCTTTCCATAAAGGCATGTGGATATTAATAAATTGAGATATTACACACATGTTTAGATTGCTACTAAGTGCAATTATTGACTAATCATAAGAAAATACTCTCAAGCGAGCATGTACAGAGCACACAATGGACACACGAAAAGGTTGATTATTTAACTCGTGGTGTATCAAAAGTTTGCTTTTTTAATGTACAACGTTGAGGGTTCAAGTCTACACAGGAGCAAATGGGTGTATTTCTTGTCGATGTAAAATATATACATATATACACACTCTGTGAGTTGAGTGTGTTTTACTTTAAAAGAGAAGGAAAAAAAAAAGTGTAATATAATAAAAAATGTAATTCCATGATATTATATGAAATCACATGATCTCCATGAAATTTAAGATTCTTCTCTCCATATTTCATGTTATCCATCCTCAAAATTCAATATAACAACTTTCAAATCTCCTCATGTAACAAAAAAAAAAAAAAGATGGTGTGGATATGGAAATTATTTTGAGATACTCATATGGAGGACAGGAGGAACCTATTTTCAATCATTTTCTGTATTTTTCTTGTCATTACTTTATGTCTTTGGAGAATCATCTTTCTTTATTTTTAATCATTTTATTTATTTTCCTTGTAAAGAAATCTCTAGTTTTTCTTGTTTTATGTAACATTTTCTTCTATTATGTGTCATGAATGAGCCATTGAACTTCTTCAAGGTGGGCTATCAACTAGACTTGTTCAACTCCACCAAAAAAAAAAAAAGAAGGACATGGACTTTATTAACATAGATAAAAGTGACCATTAATTCAAGGTGGGCTCTCAACTAAACATTGTTTAATACTGAATCCATAGCCCTTTAATATGTGGATTAAGACCTTTACAACTATCCTACCACAGCACTGATTGACCAAACAACCAGTCATTGATGTAACTGCTGACAAATTAACAAAACAAAGCAAACATCCACAAGCTAGAAAAAAATAAATAATAAAATAAAATAAAATAAAATAAAAAGGGTGCAATTCTGGCTGGCAAATCATCAAATGACACGTGTCAGTGGCAGCCAACATAAAATACATCTCCTCATACCCATTAGCCTATGCTCTGTTTTATGTATCTTCAAGTACTAAAAACAAAGGCTGTTTCTGGTAGGTAATAGAGAGAATCTAAAATGGATAAAACCCAAAGCTCCAAAAATTCTGTGTTTCTAGTGTTTTCTGTGATTCTGAATGTGTTGTTCATCACAAATCTGTATGTGGGTGGCAAGTGGAAGCAGCAGCTGAGTTGGAGCCAAGGAGCTGCAGCAGAAGCTGAGGCAGTGGCATCAGTGTCATGCTCAGGCCATGGAAGAGCCTACTTGGATGGCTTGGTTGTTGATGGAAAACCAGTTTGTGAGTGCAACACCTGCTATGGTGGTCCTGACTGCTCTGAATTCTCACATGGATGTCCTGCTGATGCAGACAGGTTTGCCCCCCTCTCTCTCTCTCTCACACACACACACACAATCCCAGACTAGGGATTCCATTTAAGAAAAATTGCACTGCTGAAGTCAATCCCATTTGTGAAACTCTGGAATTGGCAATTTGCATAAAGTTTAGAGCTGCTTCTTTCTGTTTTTTTTTCTTTTTTTTTTTTCTTTTTTTTCATTGGTAGGTAAAGATTGTGAGAGTGGGTCCAATTTAGAGGTCACCAAGCATGATGATGACAAAGGCATTACTAGATACTTTAAATTTAGTATATATAGTTCCCAAATGCCATTGATTTTTATATAACTGTATAATCACTATGAGTTGTCTGTGCTATTGGGGAAAGTTTTATTTTTATTTTTATTTTTTTGTCAAAATTTCAAGCAAACACACACCTTCAATATTGTCTTAGTAGGGCTCCAACATTCAACCTCCCCTTTGGTATGAGAGATGCCGATTGGTGTGCTATTAGGGAAAGTTGTTTTTATTATTGTTATGATAATATTCTATTTATTTTTTACTTGGAAAGAAACTCACACACTCATTTTATTGTTACAAAGATGACTTAACCTCGACCGTCTTCAAGAATATTTTATAAAAGTGCATCGTTGATGAATGCTCATCACATGAGATGTAGTTGTAGACCATCAATTTGCATCATATTGAATGGGTGCGTAAGTTTCACACAAAAAATTTATGAAGATGCCCCCACTAAAATTACAATTTGCTCTCACTGGATTTTATTTGTTTTACACTTTATACTTTAAAATTTTGAGAATTTAAAAAGATGACCCACTAAAATTACAAAAATAGACCCACTATATAAGTTTGCCCCCACTAAAATTACAGTTCGCCCCCATTGGATTTTATTTGTTTTGCACTTTATACTTCAAAATTTTGAGAATTTATGAAGATGACCCACTAAAATTACAAAAGACCGCACTATATAAGTTTGCCCCCACAAATTAAAATGTCGTCCCCTTACGAAATTTTTTGGGTCCGTCACTGTCCACACAATTGATAAATTTAATGTACAAACTAAATCTTGATCGATAATAGATAATAGTTTTGAATATCTATCAAGTACCCACAAAAGTTCCTAGCCAAACATTTATAATATTTCCAAATATGGAGCTGCCAAAGATATTTTCTTTCAGTTGGGCACCTTGTTTTTAGTATAATCTTACATCCCATTCTTGAGAATCACTATCAGAGAAAAATCCAGGATATATACCATCGACTTTTCCTTGTAGGACCAGCACCAACTTGTGAAACCATAAGTAACTACTAGTCAGTTCAAAACACAAGATAGGAAGGAAAAAAAAAAAAATTAGAGTTAACTGAAAGGTATTGGAACTTAATTTCCCAGAACAGTGTTATTTGTAGACTTGGAAAAGAGTGGGTGAAGAAAAAAAACAAGTAAGTTATCTCCAAAACTACTTTTCAAAACAACGAGATAGGAAAAAAAATTGTGGTCTTTGGAAAGGAGTGGGTGAAGGAAAAGTTAAAGAAAGTTATTTCAAGACTAATTTTTCAAGACAAAATTATTAGTATAGAGATCTTGAATATAAAGTTGTGAAGTTTGAAATTTGACATCATGCTACTACTAAATCAGATTGTTTGACAAATTTAAAGCTTACATATATTTGAATTATTGAAGGAAAAAACAAAAAACTTACATATATTTCACCAATTAACATTTAACTGCACTTGATGTTTTGAATTAAAGATGAAGATGTCTTGAATTGTCAAAGTTTAATAGTCATTTTTTTTGTTTCTTTAAAAAAAAATATATTTCTTTCATGATTTGTAAGTTGTTTGTAGACCTGGAAAAGTAAAACTATGTTATCTCAACAAAATCATTAGAATAAATCATAAATATCAAGATTTTCAACTTTGAACTTGAACATAATGTTCCTTCCAAAACACATTGTTTGACAAATTCGAAAATTATATATATTTCACCACTTAACAGTTATATTTTGAATTAAATATAAATATTCATTATTTCTTTCATGATTTTAAAATTTTATTTGCCAAATTTTCAATTCAAAACCTAATTTCAAATCAAAGGTAAACAACGAGCACTTGTTAATTAGCTTTATAAAATGTTACTCGAATAACAGTTACAAATCATCTATTCCTTCACCATAACTGTATTGAAATAATTGGCGACTATCTAGATAGAAAAGCAGTAATTTCAATATTCGAGTAGTCTGCTAGGGTTGTAGTGTCCCTCTCTCACTCAGTCTGCACACTCACACACACTTAGCCACTTGCTTGGTAAGAAAATAACACTTCACAAATGAGTTAGAGATTACACAACTTGCTTCTCACTCTAGTACCTTGTTGGATGCAAATGACACCCTCACTTTATTTATAGGCATCATATCTACACTCTCAAACTCTCTATCAACAATTCTATAAAACCTACTAATCTTCTAAAAATATCTCCACTCTCTACACAGATCTAAAACCTTTCCAACATTCTAGAATCTTATAACTCTATGCCATACTCCACAATCTCCACATCAATCTGGAAGACTTTAGAATTTCACACTACTCATGCCATATATGCAGTCCTTCTGAGCGCTCGCCTGCGTGGCGTAGCCTCTCTGCAAATAGGTGGGACGTGACACTTGTAACTAAAATCAATCTGAAGTATAAACACATAACTCTCCTCAATCCGTACTCCATCATCAGATCATCAATAATGTCAATTTAATTATCACAATTTGCTTCATTAACACTACCAAGTGTTATATATTGTTTATCACATGCAGTGGGGATCCATTATTCTTGGAGCCCTTCTGGATGCAACATGCAGCTAGTAGTGCAATCGTAGTAGCAGGGTGGCATCGAATGAGCTATATATTTGGTGACAAATCTTTCATCTCACAAGAGCTCGAGAAGCATATACGCAAAGTACACGCCATAACCAAAAATGCAGTTACTGCTGGAAAATACATTGTTTTTGGTGCTGGCTCAACCCAACTCCTTAATGCTGCAGTTCATGCCCTTTCTTCGGAAAATTCATCCTCACCTGCAAGAGTTGTTGCTTCAATCCCTTATTACCCAGTTAGTCCTAGTACCTAGTTTTTGGTTTTTGTTCAAATTTATCTGTATCTAGAGGTAGAAGTTTGATACTAAATTTTTGACAGGTTTATAAAATGCAAACAGACTTCTTCAGATCAGTCGATTTTGAGTTTATTGGAGATACATCATTGTGGAAGAACACCTCAGATAACCACACAAATGTAATTGAATTCGTAACTTCACCGAACAATCCTGATGGTCAATTGAAGAAGGCAGTTCTTCAAGGCCCTTCTGTTAAGGCAATTCATGATCATGCTTATTACTGGCCACATTTTACACCAATCCCAGCTCCAGCAGATGAAGATCTGATGATTTTTACAATTTCTAAGCTTACCGGTCATGCTGGCAGTAGATTCGGGTAAGAAAAAATTCATCACATGCTTATGCCATATTTAACTATTCATCACATGCTTATGCCATCTTTAACTATCAAAACATAGATTTTCTAGTATATTTTTCAAGAATTTAACTTGGTGCTATGTATAGTGATTGATGTTCTTCAATGTGTTCAAATTTTAAAAATTAATAATAAATAAAATAAAATTTAAGTATTTTTTTCAAGTCATCACATTGTTGTTCCTTCTCCAGGTGGGCATTGGTAAAGGATGAGGCTGTATACCAAAGAATGATAACTTATATGATCTTCTCAGAAATGGGCATCTCACGTGATACTCAGTTAAGAGCTCTGAAACTTCTGAAAGTAATTTCATCAGGAGATGGAAGGGAAATATTTGATTTTGCATATGAAACAATGAGGGACCATTGGGAAAGATTGGGCCAGACCTTATCAATGTCGAAACGTTTTTCCATCCAAGATCTTGCACCTCAATACTGCAACTTTTTCGAAAAAGTCAGAAAACCTTCTCCAGGTGATCCTCATTTTTAATGCTCATTCATTTCTAAATATGAAATTTATGCTTCTTTTCATGATTTGATTATGGTATTAATAGTCAATCAAGTATAGTAGCTGAATGATACTATTGAAAACAAAATTTGCATTATAGTTGAAATTATAGATACATAAGAAGTATAAAGAACCATCATTTGTTGATTAGTACTGACAATTTTCACCATCATCGTCATCATTGTTGATTAATTATTCCCATGAGGAATGCTTTGGATAATCGCGACTGTCCATAGATGCTGCCTCTATTCAGTAATGTGTCTAATTTGTTTTGAACCCCTTTGGGAATGATAAAATCCCCTTTACTCAAATTCCATTTATGGTTCGGTGTTTTGGTCCCTCCCTCTCTGGCATATAACTAAACGTCCATTAGTAGCTTCTTCATGTCTCCATTCCTTGAATCAAAGGACTCCTTCCATCACATCTCTTCTGGTGCACCAGATTAATTTCTCAGTATTATATATATTTCTGTAGATTACTAAAAAAAACACATACTTTCACAAAACCTTAATGCGTAGGTCATATGTTGTTCCTTCAATTTTATCACTTGAAGAAGGCATGATTTGTCCTCTTAAATTCACGTTCTTACTCTTAATTCGTTAATTTTCCGTCCTCATACCAGATATTCAAATGGTTTTATTTGTACAACTGATAACACCTAAATGGACAATATGGTCACTATTTCAAACAACAAAGTTATAGTCATTTCAGAGTACTAGATTCTTTACCTTAAATAGTATTATGAGTCTACATCACAAAATTATAAGTTGGTAGGAAGTGTGGAGCTACTAAAACTACTAGTTTAATTGACAAGAAGCTATTGTGGGGTCTCTAATTAGCACTGGCAATGTTAAGAAGAAACATTAAGTTTTGTTATTAATGATTAATTCAAGAAAAAAATAGCTATCTACGTCGATGCTAAATGACTAAAATGCTTAATTTCTCCATTTTTAATAACTATCTGGAGTAGGAAAAAATTGTAAAATTTCAAACTTTTAATTCTTGTTATGTTTCTATTTCTAAAATTCAAACAGACTAGGAAGTTCCAAAATATAGTGACAAGAAGCTATTAAAAAGTAAGATTCTATTCATAGGCCAAAATTTATATGCTAACATTATTCATTTTCATTGCAGCCTATGTATGGTTGAAATGTGAGCGTGAAGAAGACAAAGATTGCACTGCAGTTCTCCGAGCAGCTAACATAATTAGCCGCGAAGGTAGCATGTTTACAGCAGAAAATCGCTATGCACGTCTCAGCCTTCTCAAGAGCAATGACGACTTCGACTTATTGCTGCATTGGATAAACAAGTTAGTCTCTGAAGAAGATACTGGAATTGAAACTACGTGAAGATTATAATCAATCATCTGCTGATCATTACTAAGATGGGCATGAAGACATTCTTTAACCAATGTAATAATTGTAAACATCCTAAGAAGGGTTAATATATATTAACCTCTCAAGTAGTAAAGAACTGTCACTGGATTCATTACTTGTACCTATAAGGTCCCATGCTTAATTATCCTCAGCTGTAAACAGCTTAGACAGCATACTGCTGGAAGTTTCTGCAAATTTGTGTAATATATATATATATATATATATATATATATATATATATATATATATATATATTAGCATAGGTCATAAAATTGAGAAAAACCATACTGTGGTATATTTGAAGGAAGAGAATAGACCAAATAATCTCATTTTATTTATTGTGATCTCAGCAATTTATTGAGAGTTGCATTCTCTCCATTTGATTATATAATATAAAGACAAGAGTATGCACTTATTTCTGTCATGGCTGCTGCTGATAAATTTCTTGAATCAATACAATTTATTTATTTGATAGGAAAGGAAAATAAAAATAAAATAAAATAAAAAGCCCTTAACTAAACTATTGTACTTGGATTTTTAATTTATAGATAAAATTAATAAATAATTCAAGGTGGGCCATTTACTAATTTATGTTTAGGACCCCTTTAATAGGTGGATTAAGGCCTTGACAACCATCCTGCAATAGCATTGTTGATGTCACTGGTGAGTGCCTGAGTGGTGACATCCCAAGGTGGAAACAATAATTATAAATTATTATATTAGTGGAATCACACCATAATAAACATGGAGCAATGCTTGGATCCTGCCCTATCAGGACAAGTTTTGTCCTCCATCTTGATGTGGCCCTATAAAAACTTGACACCTGTCTCTTCTTCAATATTGGATCAAATTTGTTACCGGGTAGAAATCCATCAGACAAACCCATTTTCTCTCTCCTTCAGTTCTTCCTCTCTCTTCTTCGCTACTTACTTCTAAGGCCAAAAAGAGAAACATTGAAACCAAACACAACATCATGTCACTGCCGTCAAAGTATTTCCTTCATCGCTCATCACTACCGGAAAATCGCAGTCATCCATGCTCGCTGTTGTTCAGCATCCAACACCAAACCTTAAATTGCAGGTGCCAAAATGTGATACCCCTCGGATCCAAGACACGGATTGATCAGGCCCAGGCCCAAACCCGAGGGATGTCAAACAATTAATATGTAACCGAACACAGAATACAAGATGAAATACGAAATAAAAATAATAATAAGCTGAAAGAATCTAGAAATACAATCCTTTATAATTAAATACTTAAAACCTGATAATCCAACACTCTATAAGTTTACAACTCGGGAATCCATCCATTGGACCCCTTATTTAAATTCTCCAAACGATACTGAAAAATAAAAATAAAATCCAAAGTTATCATAGAGAAAATTCCTACATAATCGGAGGAGTGATTAGCTGTATCCGCTCTGCACATCCAAACTCTAACCCTGGAACTAACGAGCACCTGAAACATAAAGAAGTGGATCCGGCCCACATGCAAATCCTGATCTACTGCAATCCAAACAGTAATCCGATAAACAGATACATCTTAGGAAGACTCAACAATATCTAGAGTAGTCTATATATGTATATAGTACACACTATAGGACGCTCGCTAGTCCAGTAAGTTTGTCTCAGCCTGAATAGAAGGCAACATGCGAATACGCACCCTAGGGTGGGCATGAGTACCTAGACCTACCAGGGAACAACACCTATGTCCAGTTATCCATCCTAGGCGATATACGCGCCCTAACCATGGTCATGAGACTCAAGCTCATACCTCGGCACCATATAATATATATATAAAGTCCGTACTCCTCCTAATACATAATACCATCCATCTGTGTAGTGGTCTGATATATGTATAACAAATCCATCCTAAAACCATAGTGGATCATTCAATTCACAATTGATATGACATATGTTGGTGATGGACTTAATCTTTATGATTAATCCATACCTTAATTCAAATTTAGGTAGGGCTTAGTGTCTGAACTAATCCGTACCTAGTATGACACCGTCCCATACCGGCGCATACCATCCTCCAATTTCCGTAGTTAATAACACAGTATAATTACTTATTAACCAACATCCCAGAATAAACATAAATATAGTTTAGCATGTACACAACCAATATATGCATCCAATATAACATTTAGATATCCCATTACAGTTCTTGATATAAATGAAAAGACTGTACATTTAGCTCCTCCAGATAACACAGTTGATGAAAACAGTATCAGATACTAATCAACCATACTCCAAAATTTGCATAATTACAGTTTAACATGTGTATAACTAAATTATGCATCCAATAACAACTTTAGAATCCCAATTCCAGTCATTTAAATACATGAAATAAAACTGCACATTTAATTCCTCCAAACAGAACCATAATTAATGCAATCAACGGAAAAGGTAATCATCAATTAATTCCAGCTAAATAGATTTATGTTTCCGGATAAATAACTATATACTTGTACACAGTTAAGACATGTTTAATGTCTTTAATTTAGACAAAGAACCCCAATTGTTTCAGAAAATAGTAAGAACAATATACTAATTTCAATCCTTTCATCCACTGTTTCCCAAACAGGTTTAGTGTTGAACCTTATCTTTGTGCATGCTTCAACATAATAACATTAACATGTTTCCCAACAGTTTATACATCTCTGAAATAATTATACAGATCATCCACATTCCCTGAACCAACCCAGAAACCTTCCTACAGGCCAAATCGGACCCAGAACCACGCAAAACCTCAAGAAAAGGGGTTGGAGCCGTCTCCAGAAAGTTGGAGGCGGCTCCCCCCTTAGTGGAGCCGCCTCCACTTCATGTGGAGCCGGCTCTACCCCATGTAGAGCCGGCTCTACAAGTCCTAGAGCCGGCTCTACCCTTTTTGGTGAGCCGGCTCTCCTCTTTTGAGAGCCGCATCCCCTAACCTGTTCGTCTTCTTCGCCTCCGACGAAGTCCAGAGTCTCTATAGTATTTTAAACTCCTATTCTGGTGTTCATTTAATGTCCCAGATTTATTTGAAAGCCCCCCAACATGCAACAATAATCCCAATTAAACCAAGCTTAAACTTAAGAACGGCATGCAACAAAACACAGAAACTTTAAGAACTTGCACCAGTTTGGTTCACGAGATTTATTATAGTTTAAACATGCATTCAAAATATATTTTAACATTTATTTAATCCGTTTTAATGTTGGTTTAATCCCTGGAGTCTTTCTAAGCATGTACAGAACACAGATTAAAGAGATAGAGTGGAACAGAGACTTGCCTTTGAATTTCAGATTTGAAATTCTAATTCACCGTCTCTGTGTGATATGTTTGTGTCCTACACTGTAGTTCCCCACTACCACGCTCCTTCCTCCTTGAGTTGCTTTGCTAATCACCCAAGTTCACTCTGTGTTTCCCTTAAATCTTTCTCTCTGTATTCCCCCTATCTCACTGTATAAGTGAATATGGTGAATAGGGTTTTATTTGTAACTCTAAACCAACGTATAACAACATATATATAGACACTACAGAAACCCGAAGTCCATAAAGATATAACTCGGCCCATAGATAAACCTAGGTTATAATCAACGTCGGCTACCCATGTAAATTTAAACCTAACTTATAAACCTAACTTACGATAAGCAAGTAAATTCAAAAAAATCAAAACAATTAATTAATAACAATTCTATCAGGTAATTAAATCAAATAATACAATTTAAAGAAAATTAAAGCCAAATAAATAATTAAAACAATTAACACAAATAATCACAATTAATGTAAATAAACCAAATAATTAATTCAAATAATACAAATAAGTCAAGTAAGTCAAATAATTAAAAAGTCAATTAAAATATAAATTAAATACAATTCAAATAATACAAATAAGTCAAGTAAGTCAAATAATTAAAAAGTCAATTAAAACATAAATTAAATACCAGGACTATCATTTTGAAATTAGGGGTATTACACAAAAGCTCCAACTGCAGCAAAAGTACTAATATGTAAACAATAATTGCAGTGAACCCAACTTCAAACCTCACGATTCCATCAATCCAAACATACCCACAAATCCCACCAAAAAAAAAAAGAGAGAAAAGAAAAGAAAAAAATAGGTGGGACCCACTAATGTTTAAGTGGTCATAAGACCACGTTTTTGAAAGCTCTGTAATCTCATTCTCTCTTCTCCCGTCTCTGTCTGTATCTCTCTCGACTTTTTGTTTTTTTTTTAGTTTATAAATTCAAGTCTTGATTAATCCCTCATCTCTTATCGGATTAAGGTGCTGTTTGAGGTAAAACGAAGCCCACGACAAGCTCTACGCATCCATACCATCAATTTCAGTTTTTATGCACCCTTTGGATTTCGAAATTCAAAACCCATTTCAAGGGTTTTGTGCAATCTTGAGGTAGGGGCTTCCTAATTCACATTTTTCTTGCACCCTTGTGAGTTTTCTACTTTATATGTGATATAGCATGCTTAATTGTGTTAGTTGTTGTTTTGAATGCCATGATTAGTACCTATGTGAATATGTGGAAGCTTGTTTTAATGTTGTTATATGAGAAACATGTTGTACCATGAGTTTTTGTGTATTGTATTGTTCTTATGCTATAAATGATGTAGGAAAGCATCTTCTAGTGTGTTTTATGATAATCCCTCATTGATTTAACATTAAAGGCATGAGCTATACATGTGAATCATGGGGTTGCATGATGGAAAAATGTTTTGAAATGGAAACGGGGAATTTTGGGGATGTGTTTTTTATGAAATGGTTTTATGCAAACCTGGTCACTGCGAGGTTACCAACGGGCCGAAGGTTAATATAGCCTAGAGGGGACTAGGGAGTAGCCCTAATGTGGTTGAGCTAGCTGGACCCCATAATGACGCTGCGGGGTTACCAAGGGTCAGGGACACTAGCCAATCCTCCTCTCGTGTCGCTGTGGGGTCACCAAAGGGCGGGCTGTATTAACAGTTTGAAAGTGATGATCTTGAATTTGAAAATGGGGAGCAACATCGGCATGCATTTGCATCTCCATTGCACATGTCATTTGTGTTGAGATTGGTAACCATGTTGTATCCTTCCCCTACGTTGTATGATCCCTATCCCCATTGGTCTATGCTTTGTTTGGATTCACGGGGCTTCAAGAGGTGCGTCTTAGGCATTACCTACTGAGCATATTTGCTCACCCTACTATTTATATTATTTTTTTCAGGTCTTGGAAATGAACCGGTGGACGACAATCCACCTCAAGCTTGAAAGTTGTTAGAAGGTTGTTTGCTATTTTGTATTTTGACCATCCTATGTATAGTCATAGTTGTGGAAATGTAACTAAGTTAGTATTCATGGCCTTGTAACTTAAGAACGAATTTATCTTTTGTTTGATGTAAATGAAACTAATGGAATTGTGGTATATATTTTCATGCAATTGTATCAT